ATGTGTGTAATGAATTTTTGGACAGTTTGTCTCGAATGTTATTGTACACTGCCAAGTTTTTTTAATAGGCTTTATATGTAAAGAAACACATAAATAATCATAATGAATAAAATCACAAAACATAAAAACTAAAAGCCAATAAAAACCTTTCTTTGGCCTTTGATACTCCGTTTTCAAAAAAAATGCAACTAAATGAATAAATGAATATGTAATTAAAAAAAATGAAATTATGCTCTAAACTAAAATACAAACACTAAATTACATGTTAGAAAAAAAAAAATATGTCAATTTGACTGCAAATGAATGATTTATGAGATTTAAAAAAAAAAATCATAGATTACATAATATGCAGAAAAACTAAAAACCTTTCAGCTTTAATACCCCGTCTTCGGAGGAGTATAAAACTCAATGATTATATAACTAAAAAGATGAAATTACAATGTAAAAAGGTACAAACACTAGAATGTGGAATCAAAATGTATACAATTGGAAGTGATTGTGTTAGCTACGTGTTGGATATTATGGATGTACAGGTATTCGGTGGTGTTTGATGGAAAAAAAATTGGGAAAAAAAATCATTATTTGATAGTATTATGTTTAGTTCGTTTTCTTGGCATAAAAGCCGAGCTTCCAGTTCGATGTAATGTAGAATGTTAGGCTTAATTCCCCTTTGTAGTTTTCGAAACTTCTTTTTATATTCATGTGAAATTGTAGTTGTTCAAAAAAATATAAAAACACTAAAGTACATGTTGGAAAAAAATATAATGTCAGTTCGACTTAAAACAAACGAATTAAACACTTTTAAAAATTCCACAAATTATGCAAATAAAATTACGATAAAAAAAATCAGTGAACTGAACCCATAAAAAACTTGAAACCCTTATAAAGTAAAACAAAGAACCGATAACTAACATGACGACATAAAACTGGTATCAGTCCAAGTACATGTCCCGACTACGTCCGAATGTGCACTCCTAATGTCCACAACGAGACTTAAGCCCCAATATTCACTTTAGGGGATATACATAGAGTCTATGTTTTTTTATAAAAATATTAACTAAATTTCAAAATATTAGTTTAAGTAGATAAAAAAAACACAAGATCCACAGCCTGAAGAAACTCAAACTTATTCAAAAAAAAGTCCAAGGTTTCAACCCACGTCATCTCATTAGACAAACACCGATGGGTTGGGTTAGATTCGTACGCCACTGAGATTAGACTCGTTCAAGATGGCCACTTGATTGATATGGGATGGAGAGTTGATGTTACGCTAATCCGAAAAAGCTGGTCGAACCACGAGAGACTTATTTTTCTTTGAACGATATAAAAAGTAGAAGACATACTAGCAAGGAGCTAAAACCAATTACAAAGTTTTTAGAGGATTTTTAATCCAATCTAGCCAACTGAAACTAACTTTTGTATTTCTATTAGTCAACCATCAAAAAAAAATTAATAAAAATAAAATCAATTATCGAGTCAAAAATTCACTATTTATTCTCTTATTGCCATTAAAGAATGTATTGATCTGAAATATCATAAGACCCAACAAGCTCTCTTATAAATGGTATAAATCGTCTCCTTCTTGGTTAAGGAAACATGAATTGAATCCATCAAAGCCACACTATCACCTATATTTGCATTCACAGGAAAATCAATCTCCTCCACCAACTCAAATCATTCCAAGTCTTTGTAGCAATCTCACAACCACCAAACAAATGTAACATGGACAAATAATAGATGTCACGAACAATCCAAGGATTCATGACACACAACATAAATCTACCCTGAATAGAAAACATTTTAACTTTCCACTTCGAAAGCTTCTTTTCAAATCTATCTTTTAAAGTTTGCCAACCTTAAAGTCTAGACATATTAGCACCAATTAGAATACCAAGATAAAAGAAGGAAATTTATGAGGAAACAACGTGTAACTTCCTCAAAGTGCTCAACTTCATCGAACTCCACCCCAACACGTGTAACTTCTTCAAAGTGCCTAACTTTATCGAGCTCCATCCCAACACCATACAAACCCGACCTGCATATGTTAATATTGAGATCATAAACCATATAAAAACAATTAATATATGTTATAATAATGACAATATTATGATGTAACCACACACCCAAAAAATAAATGCATCATCAACATAAAAAAAGATGTGAGTATATGGGCTCAAACTGGTTTTGTATCATAAACCAGCATTTTTCCCCGGGATAATGACTTGAAAGAGTAACGAACTTTTGACTTTTGTTACGTTTAGTCACTAAACTTTTTTTCGTTATCTATTTGCCATTGAACTATTGAAACTGTTCACATTTTACCCTTATGACCGGCTGTTGCCGGTCATAAGGGTAAAATGTGAACAATTTCAATAGTTCAATGGCAAATAGATAACGAAAAAAAGTTTAGTGACTAAATATGAACAAAATCGAAAGTTCGTTTCCCTCTAAAAAGTTCAATGACTAAATGTGAACAAACTTCCTCTTGTATTATGTTTTACCAAATTATTTATTTTTGTTAAATTGTAGCAACATTTGTTGATGAAGAAATCTATGAAATAAAAAAACAAAATGTAGCATCCGGATTTCCAGGTATCATAATTTAAGTATTTTTCTTTTGAGTTAAGAAGAGAGACTCGACGAGTTGACGCCTCAACTCGTCGAGTAAGGTCGCGACTGATGACTCAGATTAATGAATGGACTCGACGAGTCGGTGAGGCGACTCGACGAGTCCGCGCTGTTGGCAGAAACCCTAAATCTTTGGGCCCGAGCCATATTTAAAGGCACTTATGGCCTTCAATTGCGAATACCTTTCCCATAAGTGAGAACCCCAGCGAGCTTGAGTGTGTAGAGTGAGAGGAAGAGCTATCTTAAGCTTTTTGGTGTGATAGATCTGGACCCTTCTAGGTCCAGAGAGCCGAGAATATGAAGCTTTTGTAGAGTAAACCTTGGGGTTCGAAGTTAGGAAGCATAACCTTAACCAGCAATGTGAAATAAAATGATGAGAGATAGGTGATGATAATTAGGTAAATAGATGATGATGAATATGTGATGTAGGATGAAAGGAGATACCGTAACCTTAACGAATAATGTGGCGATGTAGTAATCTACCAGAGTATAGATGGCGACCACGGACTATTCTAGACAACCCAGTGGAAACACTAGCAGGCCCATAACCTGTAGGTGATGAATTACGATTTCAGGTGATGTTGTAACTACGTATTCATGCGATGATACTCTAACCCCTTACTATGAATTACGAGTTCAGACGATGTTGTAACTACATATTCATGGGATGTCACAAATTTCGCATGCCAAACCAATGGTCATAATTCACATCAGTGAGAATGATTCATTTTTTTGTAAAACCAAAATCAGATTGGAAATTTTGATTTTTTATTTTGGAAAATGTAAAACCATTGGTTTTTTATTTCGGTTTTGGTTTTTTGTTTTTTTTTAAATATATTTTCCGGGTTTTGTTTTTGTTTTTTTTTTATTTCATAGATTTCTTCATCAACAAATGTTGCTACAATTTAACAAAAATAAATAATTTGGTAAAACATAATACAAGAGGAAGTTTGTTCACATTTAGTCATTGAATTTTTTAGAGGGAAACGAACTTTCGATTTTGTTCATATTTAGTCACTAAACATTTTTTCGTTATCTATTTACCATTGAACTATTGAAACTGTTCACATTTTACCCTTATGACCGGCTGTTGCTGGTCATAAGGGTAAAATGTGAACAATTTCAATAGTTCAATGGCAAATAGATAACAAAAAAAAATTTAGTGACTAAATATGATAAAAATCGAAAGTTACTTACCCTTTCAAGTCATTATCCCTTTTTCCCCACCTCTAACCTCACCTTGTTTAGCTGTTTTTTAATTTCAAATATGGTTTGAGTATATGGGCTCAAAATAATATGTTTACTTTGATCCAATTATCTAAATCTAGTACAATACGTTGGTCTTCACTCTTCAGCTTTTGTCTAACGGGCTCTAGTATGTATGGGGCCTGATCCGATCTAACAAAGCCCCGTCCATAGATATTGACTATTGTGGAGTTTAAATTGAAATCATAATCTGCAAAACCCTAGTTTGATTGACAGAGCAATCCTCACGAGAGCTTTTGTCGTTAGATGCAGTATGATTTAGGAGCTTACGATTGAAGTGTGTGCTTGTTTGTTTCAATTGAAACATTTAGGTTTGTTTTTTTTTTGTTCTGTTTGATTGATTATTGTTTGCCTATGAGGACACATGTTTGCCATGCGCGTCAAGGACAAAATTGCGCATCCATGGAGATTACCATGGAGTCCTTGATTCGAGGAAGAATGTGGCAACATGCTAATCTGAGGGTTTTTTTTTCAATATCTCACAGAATATTTGTTTTCCTTAAACGCCTTATTTTTACGTTATATCCCGATCAATTTCTGAATACCGTGATTTGTTGCTCTTTAATGAGTTTTGAACATAAAACAGAAACTTGAAGAAATTGTCGAACTTGGATCATCATCCTATTCCTACCAAACAAATTGGAATATTCGGCAGAAAACGATGTCAGAAGATTTGATAACAAGTGGAGAGGATTGTACCTTAAAAAATATTTCGAGCTTTTTTATCACGACAAAAACAATAAATTCATACTTTTATATCACAAGTCCACCCAGCTAACGTATGGTAGTTGTTGAATCGGCTTTCGGTTTGTTTTAGTCAAAATTATCAGTAGCAAAGCAACCACGATTTTGTAAAACTCCCGACTAGCTCGATCCACACTAAGCCAACGAATCTCTAATGATGGAATTTTTTTTTTTGAAGAATTTCAGATCGAAAAGGAAGTGAATTCATATCACAATTAAAAAAAATAATAATAATAAAAAGTGAGGATGCATAAATATCAAACGACTATATTTGTAACATTAACAACGAACAGTTTTATCCTGTATGAACGTCAAAAGTTGGTAAAGCTTAAAATTTTATTATGTATTCATGTAAAAATTCTGTTACCTGAAAACGTTTGATGAATAGAGAGTAGAGGGTGCATAAATATTAAATAGAAAGCCATATTTAGAGAGAGCATCTAGGTAAAATAGGCAAGCAATTATCTATCTGTCTGGTGATATGTTACGATGCATGCATATATACATATACAACAACAGGAACAGGAACAAGGAAAAAAAAAACAATGCAAGTATCCTCATCCTCCTCCATAAGCAAGGTTGGGAGGTTGGTTATTCACAGGCAATTTTAGTATCAAAGCTGCTAAGACATATAGCAAAGGCCTGAAAGGCTGATATCGGGTACTGATAATCCATGGTGAATGCATCTTTTCCAACTTTCCCAAACTGTACAATCACATCCTCTCCATTCTCCTCCCCACTACAAGCCACCAACTGAAAGTTTTTAACCGAAGCAACTGTCACCCTCCCGTTGAAGTTGAGGCACCAGCATTGTAGCTGTTCATGCCACCTGGGCGCCTTGTTCTTCAGCATCAGCAAATGGGATTCACAACTCTCCATTCCCATGCCTGCAGATTTTGATCTGAAAAAGGGGACAGATGAAAACGAATCCGTTTTGTTCACCAGGAACTCGGTTTGTGTTGGAGCCACTCCTCCTGGCTCCATGGCACTTGCAGGGATTGCATTCATCACACATTGCATCCTTCTCGGACCCCTGTAGGAAGGGATATATATATATATATATATATATATATATATATATATATATTACAACAAATCATGTCTTCTTTAGTGTGGAAAATAATTAATTAATTGAGAATATCCTTATCATACCTGGACCCCAAGACATTGAGCTCATATGAAATGTGGGAAACCGGGTAGTTTCCAGCAGGAACTCTGGGCGACACTCTTTTCATACTCCCTGGTCTGAAGGAACGGCATTTTGTTGCCAAAACTCCACCATTTGAAGGCTGTGCATCATAGATGGTGAATTTTGTCCCAAGGAAGTTTGATCTGGTTGTCAATTCATTTCAGCAATATTTTAAAAAACAAAAAACACCTTATCCATATGTGTGTAAGAATATAAAGTTTACCTTAATTTTCCAATGTAAGTGCTACTCCCTTTTGATACATCTTCTGGACTGAGAGATATTATATAATCTGTGCATGTGGCACGTCTACACTTTTTTGCAGCAAGAAGGAACTTCCCATCATCGTTTGATGCTGACATTATACATATATTACAAGATTTAGCGACATATTATTCTTAAGGAATACACAAAATTGGATTAAATGGTCACCTTGATTCAAACTGAGGTAGAGATGATATGTTTGAGCGCTTCGGTTTCGCTTTATATAGCATTGTATTAGAGATCCTCTTGAACCAGGCTGGAAACAAGTAAAACTAATAAATAAATTTCACTTCAACTTTATCTTTATCAACTAATCAACCCACTGCAAATTCTTACTTCAACAGTCAACAACAAAGCATCCAAATGAATCATTTATATGATGAAATTATTTATAGCCATTGTGGTTGTTGGAATTTATGGATATATGATTTCACTTTTAAAAAATGTGCATGCAAACTATACTTCATAAGAATTAACTTCTAAATCAACTCTGCCCAGTGTAAATGAAATTGTTAAAACTTGGATAGAATTACAAGTTTTATAGTCTTATCCCTTTTTTTCTGGCTGAGATTGTTCTTCTAATGAATCACTCTTCTTTCTTTATACAATTTATAAATTATAATAAGGATCTAAAAACGACCATGGGTGTAAGCAAATTATTGAATCCTGGAAAAATGTTGACTCTTCAATTTCAACTTACCTGCTACTGTTAGTGTGTGTGGGTGTTAATGTTTTTTCTTTCCTCATTATTAACCAAATAAACTGCCCTACAAAACTAAAAAACAGTCATTCCCGTGTTAACTAAACAGAATATACAGATTATCAAAATTCCATGTTACCCTAAAAATTCTTTGTAAAGAACACGATTAATGTGAAAAGACTGTATGAATTCAACTAGGGTTTACAAACAAGATCCAATATTGATAGCATCTATACAGGTTAAAAGAAGAGATTTGAAGACATAGCAAACCTGTTTCAGTGATATGGGGAAAGTCAATTTGCCAGAAAGTTCTGGGTTCTTAACAATTTCTTTCATGATTTCTCTCCAATTCCTACAAACTCCGGCACAAGACACCACATTCTTCCGAGGAGGCCAGGTACACTCGGATGCCTCGATCCTCATCAACACGTCCCGCAACAACTCCGGCGGCATGTTGGCCCAACAACTCTGCTTCAACGCATCAACAATGATCATAGAATCGTCCTCGACCAATTTTAGTGATCTCGACCTCAAACCAAACCCTTTTCTAGATATACTACCAAACTCTCCCTTCATGTCCTGAATTATACTTTTAAACGACATCTTCAACTACTCGATTCTACACAAAAACACGTCTATATAGATACACCGTCATCACCTTCATTCCTGTATCAGCCCATGACCACTTAAGAAACACATTTTTAACCAAATCATCAATGCAATTGATCATGATCTGCAGATCAAGACGAAGTATAATTAAACAAAACCAGCCGTAACAACGTTTGAAATGCAACCCATCTAACACCAATAAACTCCAGTAGATATATCCAAACCCTATAAATCACCAATGCGGATAGCACACCGACACCATCACCGAAAGCATTATCCAAATGGCTTACATGTAAACCGAAATAGTTATGAATTCACATGGCTTTGTAACTCGGACACAGCTATAGGAAAAGATAAGATTAGGGTTTTGATTGAGTGAGATAAAAGGGAGATTTAGGTTTAGAGGTGACTATTGGGTTTAGCCGTTTAATGTAGTTAGTTAAAAGACAGACGGATCTCATCGGAGTATCATTGGCCTGCAAAATTATCCGATTTGAACCCGACCCAGACGGACAAGCGTGCACCATATCCATAATCCTTAATCATATGGCGCGTTGTTGGTAGCCCGCTAAGAGATATGGGTTATCAATCGGCCTGCAAAGTGCAAAGTTTTTTGTTAAAATCAATTTAAATCCGGATGGAATTGTAGATGTTTTTATCATATATAAGTATAACGTGGAACATTATTTAGGAGTTCATAAGTAGTTTTATACATGTGGTCTCTTCAAAATTTTGCCCTTTTGTTGAAGGTGTCTGGTTATTAAAATTATAATTATAAATAATATAACAATCTAATTCATCATAATCATTTGGACCATGGGGCCATAAAAGTTTCGATCATCAAAATGGCAGATATTATCATCGAAATAGTTGTAAGCAGAAGTCAAAGATAGAAGTCAAAGATAGAGGATACGAGATTAGATAGTCAGTTATGATTTGTTGTATAGATAGATATTAATAATATTTAAATATGATGTAATCCTATCTTTGTATTATATATATATATATATATATATATATATATATATATATATATATATATATATATATATATATATATATATATATATATATATATATATGTATGGGAGTATGACCTGAGGGTCTTTCAAGGCAAATATCTCGTTTGACTTGGTATCAGAGCCCACGATCATTAGGGTTCTTAAATTCTTTCTTCTCTTTTCTTCTCAACTTCTGGTCCTCTGCCAGATCACTTCCTCCATGGCTCCCCCTTTCATTAATTCTGCCAAGATAGCCACTGTTATAACGTGCAAGCTAACACGCACTAATTTTCTTCTTTGGAAAGCTCAGGTAGTCCCGATCTTACGGGGAGTTCAGTTGTATTGCTTCCTCGATGGAACTACAGAAACCCCAAATGCCAAAATTGCAACTCCAAGTAGTTCCAACGGAAAAGAAGCTCCAAAGGAAGCCGGTAATCCTAAATACTTGGACTGGGTGGTTCAAGATCAAGCTATTATTGGGGGATTACTATCCTCTATGACAGAGGATGTTCTGTCACAACTCACCAGATGTATTGACACATCAAGCCAATTATGGACATCGCTCCATACAATGTTCTCTGCTCAACATAGGGGAAACTCGATCCAGATTCGAACGCAGCTGTCTACAACAAAGAAGGGTGATATGACTGCTTCAGAGTTTTATCAAAAGATGACTTCTCTTGCAAATACTATGGCAAACATATGGCATCCTATGACCGATGAGGAAGTCATAGGGTATATTCTTGTTGGACTAGACCCAGGACATGGGGATCTATTCACGGCGATAACGGTGCTAGGAAACCAAAGAGCGGTGACCTTACCAGAATTTTACTCCTACTTGATTGCCCATGAAGCTCAATCTTTAGCTGCGAACAGTACCACTATAGAATTTGTGTCATCCGCCAATAATGCCACAAGACAAAATTCCAATGGACCTCGTCGCAACTTCAACCAAAACGGACAAAACTCTTACAATTCCAACAACAGCAACTATCGAAACAACAATTTCAGAAACAATGGTGGAGGTCGCGGTCGTGGGAGAGGTCGTGGAAGGAACTATGGTGGCCCTTAATGTTAGGTTTGTGGCATCTCAGGCCATGTTGCTCTTAACTGCAGAAATCGATTTAACCATACCTATGAATCAGAAGAGAATCGATCAGGGAACAACGTTACCACAGGAAAAAACAATCACGATCCACACTGGTACCTTGACTGTGGAGCAACAGATCACCTTACAAGTGACCTTGACAAAATGATTGTGCAGGAAAGATATCATGGAAAAGATCAAGTTCAAGTCGCCAATGGTGCAAGTTTGAATATTTCTCACATTGGTCATTCACATATTCCTTGTTTGAATCGGTCCCTTGTTCTCAAAAACATTCTAAGAGTACCTCATATTAGTAAACATCTCCTTTCAGCTTATAGACTTGTCTCTGATAATAATGTGTTTATTGAAATTCATCAAAATATGTTTCTTGTAAAGGACAAGGTCACGAAGAAAACACTTATGTTCGGTAGAAGCAAAGGAGGTCTCTATCCGGTGCCCATTGCTAGTTCGTCTCATATTCCTCAAGCTGCATCTAGTGTTAAAGTGTCTCCGTTACAATGGCATCAACGTCTGGGTCATCCCTCACCCGTAGTTGTTAGGTCTATTTTGAAGTCCGATAAATTAGATTGTTCCTTTAATAGTGTTCCAAGTGTTTGTGATGCATGTCAACGTGCAAAGAGTCATCAACTTTCCTATAATAAAAGTTTTCATTCTACAACTTTTCCGTTAGAACTTGTTCATACTGATGTTTGGGGACCTGCACAGGAATCTAGTGGTGGTTTTAAATACTATGTTAGTTTTCTTGATGATTATAGCCGTTATACCTAGATTTATCTTATCAAGCATAAATCTGATGTTGAACAGGTTTTCTATGACTTTCAACATCATGTTGAACGTCTTCTAAACACTAAAATTAGAACTGTTCAATCTGATTGGGGTGGCGAGTACCATAAGCTCCATAAATATTTTCAGCAAATAGGTATCTCACACAGGGTGTCATTGTTGGATTAGTGTCTAAGTCCATAACTATTTTGGTATGGACTTGACCCGATGGTGCATGGTCCTTTTGGGTTGCCTTCACCAAAGCAACTTGATTGGAGAAATAAATAAAGAGAGAGAGGTTATTATGATTTATTAATATGTTATAAGAATAATATATTAAAGGAGAAATCATATTTGCTTAATTAATATTGGTCAATAATTAATTAGGAATTAATTTTGTGATCAAGTGTAATTAATTAAACTAGAGGGGCTGAATTGTAATTATGTGATAGTTACAAAATATGGTAATGGTTATCCTAAATATGGGTTGAACGAATTCAACGAGATAAGGATCCTTGAAATCATCCAAAGGATAAAGGATAAGGGTTTTCAAGGCTTATCTTATGGTTGCTTTGTGGATAATTAACTAGATAAGGATAATGACTGAAACCCTATCTCTACACCTATATAAAGACCCTAAGGCCTTAGAATTCGTGTACTTGATCCCTAGAGCATCTAAGGACGAATTCCTACCACTCTCTTCTCTCTTTATACCTTCTCCATTTGCTCTTGGTGTTTGTAAGCCATTAGAGGAGTGACACTTGTGACTCTAAGCATTCCAAAGTCAATTCAAGGTGGAATTAGGATTGTTATTGCTATATAACAATCAAAGTATGTTCTTAAACCTATTCTCATGTTAATATGATTATTTGAATGCTAGAATTATGGTTTATAGTCTTGGATTCAAAGCATGTACAATAGAGAAACCTAGATCCAAGCATTAGGGTTTGTATGAGCACATAGGATGTCTTATGACTAAAACCCATCAGTGGTATCAGAGACAATGGTTTGGTTTCAATTGTATGAACTTGATATATTAGGGTTTATTGCCAATAAACCCTAGGAGGCTAGGGTTTTTTTTGAGATTAGGGTTTGCAAACCCTAATTTGCAAGAGTTTGAATAAGATCTTCAAATCCTTTCCTTAAACCCTTAAATTTCGAAATCTAGGGTTTGTTATAATCCCTTGATTTTCGAAATTTGCCTCCTCCCCAAGATAAGATCCTAATTTTTAGGGATTTGGATTATCCCATATCTTGTAATTATCCTTTAATTGTTATATATGGTAATTCAAGATCTTGCATTATCTATCCATATTTTCGAAATCTATATACATATTTAAGGGATTAGGATAACTTAAATGTATAAATGGTAATTATCCTCGTTATTTAGATAATCCCTTTTGATTTAATAATTAAATTAATAGTCTAATTCAAGATAATTATTAAATCAAGAGTTTTAATATTTAAAATTTTAATTTAAATGTCATAAATTCGAAATTTTAAGATAGATTAAAACTAAATTGTTTTGAAATGTTTCAAAACTTGCCCTCAAGTTTTGGAATTTAAAAGTTGATTAAAAAGGTTTAATTAGAAGTGTTAAATTCTAAAACCCTAGTATTGTTTTGAAAAGGGTCAAATCACACCCTTATGGTTTTATTAATTAATTAAGGTGTATAATTAAAAGAGATTTAATAAATCCATAAAAGTTTTGGTTTGCAATTTAATTGAATTAAAGGTATAATTATTAAATTTGACTACATAGTATTTTAAAAGTATGAAATGCACCCTATACTATATATAGAACATTAAAAGTCTAACATTATATATATGTATGAGTAAAAGTCAGTCTTACCGTTAGTAGGCCTCATTCACGAAGCTGGTCTATAAGGAAGTGTTTAAGGAAATTGCCTATAAAATGGCGATTGAATGGGTATCCACTCTTACCCACCGCACTCTTGACTAGTGGAGGGTCGTTAGCCGAACGGGTAGGATAGGACGAAACCTTCCATTATAAGTATAATGAAATACAAAGTAACTAAATGTTTTTCTAATTCCCAATCTTAGTTACTTAGGCAAAAGTGAATTGATGCAATTCCATGAAATTACACTTTGTGCCCTTGCGAAGACGTTAGTGGAGCGTGTGTGGTTTACTGGCACACTAAATGGTTCTAAGCAAAGGTTGCAAAGGGTGACTCAATGTTTGTCATAGTTCGGTGGAGCGTGTGTGGTTTACCGGCACATCGAATGGGTGATTGTAACATGTGAGGGCACCATGTAAGTTTGCATGGTTATTCACACCCGCTTTGTGATCCTCGGCATCCCAGTCACAAACAAGAGGGGCATATCGAGATTTAAACATGCCATTGAAAGTTCAATGAATCTCAAAGGATCTAGGAGTTTTCATAGATTTAAAACTTAAATTTCTTTTTCGTTTTTCATGGTGGAAATTAGTGAATCGTCATTCACTTACCTTCAAATATTCTGCAACTAGATTACGACATCCCTTTTATAGGTTGTAGCGTATTGTGTTGGGTCCTAGCCTTAGTATCTCATTTGGGTGATTTACTAAGGACTCAATCGATCAACTAACTTGAATTTGTTTTCTCCCGTTTTGTAGATGTCAAAGTTCGACAACTATGGTCTTCCCAAATCCCGTGGAACAAGCATTCCACATGAAGATGATATTCCACGATTCGATCGAGGAACAAGAAATCATGCTTCACTTCCTCCTCCTCCTCCAATTATTCTCCCTAACCCACAAGATTGTAAAATTGAAAGGTTCAATATCACTCAAGCCCTTTTGGCAAGTAAACATAAAGAAGGAAAGTCGGTGTGTCCACACGTCTTAGGGATGAAGTCACACATTCATAGGTTAAGAATGATGGGATCCGTTGTCGGTGAAGAGATGGCTGTTGATTGGGTTCTTCAGTCACTTCCCAACTCATATAGTGAGTTCGTAAGAGAGTACTATATGATGAACCACGACGTGACCCTTATGGATCTCACATACATGCTTATTGCTGCTCAATCAGCAATGGTTTGGCGCAATAGAAAAGCAAAGTTGATTGGTGAGTCTGCCTTCAAGACCTCTATGGATATAGACAATGGCAATGAAAGACATGCAATGATCGAAAAGTTTGATCATAAGAGAAAGGCGATGTCTGAAGTAGTTCCATGTGTTGTTCCAAAAGAGTCAATTTGCTTTTTATTGCCAAGAGAAGGGGCATTGGAGACGAAGTTGTCCTAATTACCTAAGAGATCTAAAAGATGGGACAGTCAGAACGTATGGCTCTACTTTAGGTAAGAATCCACTATATAACTCCATTAAGTTTCTATTCATTGATACATGATGTGATAAGATTGCATTTGAGTGTTTTTTTGTAGGATCGGTGAAAAGAAAGGAAACTTGATAAGAGAGCAAGATGAATCTAATCACAAGAGATGGATCTCGATCGCATGGACTTGGAGATTAGATTTTGAGCTTAGAAAGTTGTGATAGAGTTGTTAGAAATTTTCTTTTGTACATAGTTTTCAATGGATTTTGCATTGTAAGGACAAATTTTTCCGCGGCTTTTATAAATAAAATAATTTTTGTTTGACTTATTTATTTATTTATTTACTTCCTTGCAATGAAATCGTTATGAAAATTGATGTTTGCATATTTCTACAACGAATGGATATGATTCTTAGATATGTTATTTATGGAAATGTCGAGAATTTACCAAATAGGGAGAGTTTCTCATCGCCCAAATTTCAATTGGACTGAAATGTGGAATCACGCAACTTGGTTGCATGATGAATGAGAAAATTCATATTTGGAAATTAGCCAAATTCGTTGACAAAGTGTCAAGTGAAGGACTAGGAGATCGAGTACACAAAGTTGTGTGTTGATCAAGTTCACTATAAGAGTAACAAAGATATTCGTCATGATTTACTAAAGGATTAGTAAATATGATTATACTTACAAGATTAAGTGTAAT